GTCATTGGTTTTGATACTGCCCAATACTCTGGTTGATAATTCACTCCGCACTCTCAGTACACGGACGCACATACACACACATCCGCGCGCACACAACCGCACACTGACGCGGAAGCAAAAGCAAGCAATTCACCTGACATCGACCCAGATACTCGTTCGAGCCAACTTTGTCCCAATCGAAAAATTCGAGCACGACGGGAGGTGGATAACGGACAATTCGCTCTGGTGCACCATGCATTTCCACTTGTTCATAGATTAAGGTTTGATCGAACACCGGGCATATGGTTCCTTGCAGAGTGGGTGTGCGTTGACACATGCCCAGGAACGAGCATTGCACATACGGATCAGACATGCCCGACTGATCGGCTGCGAGCAGATTACGCGCTTGGAACAAGTAGACTCGCAAATGCCACGTGTGTGAACCTAAAATGGAAGCGGGGTTAGAAGGGGCAACAAAACAGTGTGATACACAATATTCATTGTATTACAGCCCAGTACATCAGCCGACTATCTGTGAAACGTGAGACAGATGTGCTACCAGAAATCAGATGATGTTTAGGACTGTGGGGAAATCTGGAAACGATGTTCAATCTTTTAGAGTAGTAAGCTGGGATTAGCCCATTCGATTATTAAGAGGCACCAGGCACTTTTGTGATGGTCTTGGATGTGGGTTTCACTCCTTGGGAGATGATTACTTCCCCGCATTTTCATGCATTTACATGCGGTTCGAGTCCTGACAGGGACGCAAAAAGTACGCACTGCTGACGAATCCCAAACAAGATGAAACAGCTGTCCAGTGCTCTTTGTCGATTATCACAAACATTTCCATCGCATGTAGATGTTAAAGCTTCATTGAAACAAAAAGCTTTTATCCCTATCTATTTTACTGAATATAATGTGCTATCATTATTAGCACTATTATTATTATTGCTGTTATGCTACATTCACATCAGTGCTTTCCACCCCTACAAGATAATGGAATCTTCCGAAGCAAAATACACTCGAAACCGATCCAGAACTCACGAGCATATTTCAGGTAAACCCTTGGCACGGTCATATTTTGTTTCTGTCAAAAGAGGAAACACAAAAGCAAAATCAGTCGAATGTGAATGAGTGATTTTGGTGTGTGGCCGGGGAAAGGTAACACTCAGAAGACACTTGGATGTAGACATGCATGTAGACATATAGGAAGGATTCAGACAGGCAAGCAAAATCACATGCACAATGAACGAACGATCTCGTATGGGTGAACGATGTTTTTTTTTGTGTGTGTGTGTGTGTAAGTGGGTGAATTGGGGTATGTTCGGTTGAGTACAGACCAGATTAATTCCAACGGCGAGCACAAATGACGGAAATCAGAGGAGAACGTGAACGAATGATTGGGGAAGACACTGCTGGATGAAGAGGATGTTGAAAAGGGGCAACAGACAATCGATTTCGAACCAGAAGACGAATGAATAAATGGATGCTGGAAGGAGTGAATTGGCAAAAATGTCATGGACGCGTGAATGGATGGAATGATGAGGAAATGAACCGGTGACTGTCAGTGGAGTTGCGCTAAGTGAACCAATGTCTACAGCGTAATCCTACTCCGAAAAGGCAAGTCAACGAAAGCCGAACTAAGCAATATACCTGTTTGGATGATTTACCCTATTCATTATGGGAATGAAAGAGAGAGACACATACACAAAAAATCATGATATAATTTGAAGCTTGCAATATGAAAGAATCTGAAATTCACATGCAGTAGAGAAGATGAGGATATAGGTTGCGACAATTATGTAAAAACGATGGTGTTCACATCTGAGTCTGGTTAAGTTGATCAGCTATCTCTCATGTCCCACATCCAACACAAACTATGGAGATAAAAAATGCTGAGGCAATGACCGCTGACCGCCAAACAAGGCCGAGTACGCGCCTATTCAGATAGTTGAGAAAGAGTCGGACGGATTCGCCCCGCTTTTTTGTTATAAGCGTAAATCACCTTTACCATTGTTTCAATTCGGGGTTAACTCTACCAACACCAACCAGCCAAAATCGGTTTGGTTTGCCCGCTGCGGTTCAACCTCGCATGCGAACTGTGCCACGATTGAACCGGACCATGACTGACCTTTTTGTGCCGATGATGAAACATGTGTCTCATCGCTCCTTCCTGTGATTGAGGTGCATGAATGTCGTGAACAATAATATTGGTCATTGAAGCGTTTTATCGAAAAATTGGAATGGTGCAAGAGACTTGGTTGAATAGCTATGATAAAGCAAACAGCCACTGTAAATGCTTTCAACGTTCCTGGTTCGGTTTACAATAAAGACCATACAGTGGCGTTCCACAAGTCCTCGGATCAACTAGGGACAACAACAGACGTGGTGAGTGAGATTGTGCGAGTGTGTGCGTTTCACGCAGGCGGCTGAGAAAATAAGTGATTCCCTTGAACAATTATTTTGTTCGACTCAGACAGCTAAGACATTTGTTTCCGGAGGTGAATTGTATCATCCATCACTTTGTTCACAGTGCAAATTGTGATGTGGCATGCAGTGTGATGATGAGTGCAATCAAAATGGGGATATAAACTGATTCTGGATTTCGTTTTATTGCACAATGTAATAATGCATGCAAGGGTGAGGGGTAATCATCAGTACTATTGTGTCTACAGTTTCTATGAACAAGATTGAGCAGCTGTTTTTATATTGTCTAAAGTAATACAAAATGAAATTCGTACAGTTCAGCTTGAAAGAGGAATCCGCGGAGAGAGCTTAATACAGAGCAACTAGTTTTCAACTGTTCACCTCTATAGATAACTGAAAAGCTTTCCATTGCTTGGAGACCTTATGTACAGCTTTGTTTGAGAGCGAGAGAGTGTGTGGTAGGGGCGGGTGGACTAAAACAATGCCGGTT